AGACAATTACAGATAATATGGATTATGCTGTGATACTGCTGCTCCGTTACAGGCTTTGTTCTCTGTCGTGTTTCTGCTCCTCTTTTCTGGCTGCCCTCTCTAATTAACACTGATAGCATCTGATAAATGGAGACATCACAGTGTTGGTTGTGGGTGGCTATTTACAGACACACACACACACACACACACACACTCTCAGAGGCACGTATGTTGTCAGTAGCACCTGCTCCCGGCTCGACGATGTATGGTGATTATCTCAGGGTCTGCCTTGAAAGGAAAACTAAAGAGCAGAGATCCGAATAAGCCTGAACTGATTCCTTGTTTGCATTACTTTTTAATAAAAAAATATGCTTTTTTTTTCTTGCCGTGCCTATAAGACAGCAAACATTCCCCATGTGATACACTTGTGGTTGTGCTGAGCAGGGTTCTTTGTCACTTGTTTGATCTTTAAGCTGGCAGATAAGCAACAAAACCAGCAGTTATGAATCAAATCCAGCGAACGGTTACGGGCGTCATGGAGGAATTCTCTAAAATAAAAAGTCCTCAAACCACCTTCCTGCCCTTTTGTCTATCTGCCCTCTGCACAATGTGAGCAGCAGCACCGCATGTGTGTGTCCTCCTCAGATTACCTCCCTTCAAAAGAGCCCCCGCGCAACTAGGAGAGGAAATAAATAAATTAGAGGTCAGGCTGAAATTTCCTTGTGATGGCATCTGGCTTCGTCGGCTTGCTCCGAGCGTGCTCGTGATGAATGTTTTTCCACCAAGCCGATGAGCCCGGAGAGGAGAGAGAAAAGGGGCCACATCTGTAGGTGTGCAGAATCGACTCAGGGGAAATAATAACAAAAAAAATGCTACAGTGCCGAATAATAGGCACACAAGCAAATCTTACCTTCAGCACCTCCCAGTGTTTTTTTGTTTTTACCTTTGAGGCGACGGAAAGCAAAGGTTGAGCAGGATGCCTGATGTCAAGTAAGAACTCTGATGGAAACCTCGTGCTGTCCAGGTTTAGTGTTTCCTTAAATACGATTATTGAAAGAGGAAAATCAACCGGTTTGGACAAGAGGGAAAAAAAACACAAGTCTT